GATGAAATACAGCTGAGGAACATAATAGGGAGCAAAAATGGGAGAAACGGGGCTATAACTCATGTAACGACTAGCTGGGTCGTTATAGTGCTTCTATTTGTTGGGACTACGTACACACGAGGTGACGAGAGTCCGTACGTAGCTACTAGTTATGCCTATGTCCGGGTACTTCTAGGTTTACACTATGATTTGCTGATACCGTTATTTGATCTTGTTATTTCTTGCCTTGAAAGGAATTTAGATCGAGTATGCTTATTAAATGCCTTGGAAAGAGTTGAAATTGAGGATTTCGGAACATGAAACTTTTCATTTGGATTTCATATGTTGAAAAGAATTAAAGAATATTATAATAATAATTATTTGAGAAATTCTATGTGCAACCGTGTCGCAAATATATTTTGCAAGCGGGATAAATTTCGACTACTCTCATGGGAGCGGGCCGTTCGCCTCGGCAGGTTAAATAGATGCATCTATGGTTCGGGCTGTTCGACCCTCGGTAGTGCACAGTTTATATTTATATGTTGGTTCAGGCTGTTCGACCATCGGTAGTGCTCGGTTTATACTTATATGTTGATTCGGGCCGTTCGACCCTCAGCAGTGCTCAGTTTATACTTATATGTTGGATCGGGCAGTATGACCTCGGCATGATTGAATTGATTGCTCTGAAATTTATAATAGATACTATTGCCTATTTGGCTTGAGATAAATTGTTAAATGATGAGGAGTAAATTTGGATATTTTCTTAATTATAAAAGAATTTCTTACTTCAATTATTGAGCTTACAGCCGTTTTATATAACCTATGTTTAAATCATATCATTTGCATTTTAATTATAGCCCATAATAAGTGTCGGAGTTGACCCCTCGTCACTACTTCTTCGAGGTTAGACTGGATACTTACTGGGTACGCATTATTTTCGTACTCATACTACACTTGCTGTACATTTTGTTGTATAGGCACATGTATGTCTGGTGGCCTAGTGGGCGCAGCGGCGCGGTTGATACGGGGACTTAGGTGAGCTATATCTTATGTTACGATCCGCAGCCAGCAGAGTCTCCTTCTGAGTATTTATATTTTCTCTCCTGTCCAAATGTTGTATTCCAGATAATGTATTTCACTTTATTTTTCTAGTTGATGCTCATGCACTTGTGACACCGGGTTCTGGGATGATTATGCGTTATTCAGTATTGAAATTTGCTAAAAATATTATTATTTACTCTGTGAATTTCATCATATATTTTTAGTTGAAGGAAATTATGATTTCAAAAATATTAAAATGAGAACTAAATTAACTAGTTGGTATTGGCTTGCCTGACAGTGGTGTCCGACGCCATCACGACCTCTAATAGATTTTGGGTCGTGACACCAACTCCGTTTCTCACCAAATTTGACAGACATGTCATAAATATAGTAGAGGACCTATACTAGGTTCCGGAACCAAAATACGAACCCGATATCAATAAAGTCAAACATTGGTCATACTTTCAAAGTCATTAAGCTTTTAGACTTTCAAATTCAACAAAATGCGATAACTCGGGTTAGGGACTTCCGAATTTGATTCCAGGCGTACGCCCAAGTCCAAAATCACGATACAGATCCACCGGGACTGTCAAAACACGATCCGGATCCGTTTGCTCAAAACGTTGACTGAAGTCAACTCAAATGAATTTTAATGCAAAAATTTCATATTTTCTTAGTTTTTAACATAAAAGCTTTCCGGAAAAATACCCGGATTGCGCACGCAAATCGAAGAGGGCTAAGATGAGGTATTTAAGGCTTCAAAGCATAGAATTAGGTTCTAAAACATAAGATGACCTACCGAGTCATCACAAAGCATTACACAGTTAGATGGCTATGAATATGTTTTTTCTATGACCCCTTTGTTTTTAATGTTTTTATACAAAACTTGTAACAAAAGGGGCTAAGTTCACTAGACTTATCCCTTTAACTATCATAACTATGCACAATGTGTGTAGCATTAATAACATTATCTTTAATTTGAATAAGAGGTAAAGTAAACGCATATAAGTGTTCTCATTTTTAATTATAAATTTAGTTCAAGTTTGATTTGGTACAAATTATTAATTTTTATCTTTTTTTTTCGTTAAAAAATATGAGGAATGAGGTATGGACAAGACGGAAACAAGCTCAATATGAAGTTATTTCTCTCTATTTTATTTTTGTTAAACGTCCTAAAACGTGACAGTCCAAGAAATTAGGAATGAAATGAAATAAATGACCAACAAGGGTCGTGGTAGAGTGACACTCCATTTTTAACCAGAGGTTTTTGATTCTAACTTTGAGTATGAAATCGTCTTTATTAATGAATATTTTATATCCAATGTGGGACTTTGCGATGCAAATCTGAATTAATCGCGTCCGATGTGAGTATCGGATACTGTATGGGAACCCAAAAAAATGAAATAATGACAGAGAAAATCCATGAAAAGATCTTTATTTCAGTTCCGTAGGCTTCATACAAGACAATTAGTCACTCTTTTTTTTTTCTTTTTATTGCAAGAAGCGTGTCTATCTCAGCTCAAGCCTTCCCCTCCATTGCTTGCTCTAAAATAGTATACAAAATTTAAATTCATTTTCTCTTGCCTCTGTATGTATTGGTAAATATCTTTTTCCATAGTTAAACTTACCTTTCCTTCAAAGTTCAAAGCACACATCTTTTCATTCTCTTTCATTCTCATTTGACCAGCATGCAGATACACTTCTTTGAATAAATATTTCACTATCTGTAGAATAACTCATGAATTAATCAGCTAGCTTTAACCTTCTTCTCTTTAACTTTTATTTTTGAGAGAAATGACATCTTTTTTTTTTTCCAATTTCATCAGTTAGATAATTCTTTCTCGTTAAACAAACTGATGGGACAATGAACTATAAAAATCATTTGAGGGCAATATTTATGATCTTGTTAAATTTCATAAAGTGGAAATAAGAATTCTTGAATGGAGAGCAAAGAATAGTTAAGGAAAGTTGAACCCCAGCTTTGTTTTGTTAAAGATTAGTTTATCACGTAGGAAATAATCTTAGGATAAAAAGAACCCAAGGTATACATATCGAGAAGGAAATTGCGTTTCTTTTTATTACTGTAAAGGGAAAGTAAATTTAGATTAGATAGTGAAAAAATTTCACAGTAGATACATCAGTTTAGTAAGGTCAGCTATATATGACAAGGGTAAGAATCTTCCACTTTCAAAATACAGAAGGGAGACATTTAATTCTTCATTTTGATGTCATATTTGATTTTACTACTACGAGTGCATGACTAGCTTTGTGACAGCTTGTGAAACATTGATAGCAATCTATTTTAGATTCTTTGAGGATTTAAGTTCTGACTTTCACAATATTTTTGTTCTTTTGGAGATTTTACTGTCCCAAATTTACCTAATTTTTAAGGTCAAGATTTACCATCTAGAGGAAATTTTGATTGGTTATTAAAAGCAACTTCACGGCTAGAAATTATTGCTTAAAATTTCTTGTAGACAAGATGCATATTAGATCACCTGAATAAGTACATTTCAACTATGTAAGTGAACATTAAATCAATATAGTGAAAGATATATTACTCCTTTTGTCCCTTCCAATTTATGTGATGCAGTTTGATTGGACGCGAAGTTTAAAAAAAATATGATCTAATAAAACTATAGATATTAGCTATAAATTATCTCATGATAAATTAGAAAGCCTAAAGTCACGAAGATATAAATTCATTTTTATAATCTATTTTTATTTTAAAAAAATGCCCTCTATTTGATTTGGAAAGTGCAAAAACTAAGATCCTCCCTAAAAGTCACGAAAGAACATATATAAAAATGGGTGATTTTTGTACAAAACAACACTTCATTTCTCCTAAAATGATGTTGTAAGAGAATGCTTCATGCTGTAGTCTTAAGCATAGACTTGCTGACTTGTACATGGAGCTCAACAGAAACCCTAATTTTCACTTGTAGTTCTACAAAAACCCTAATCCGTCAACTCCTCAAAGAGAAACTCACGTTACCTATGCCCAATAGATAACTATATTTATATATATGAGTTTCCGTTTGTTCGGAAATCTTATATTATAGGAGTATAGGTCTTTTACACCACTAAGTTAATTTACAACAAGAGCAACAACTATATCTCAGTCTCGAACAAATTGTGGTCGGCTATATAAATTTTCACTAATCATAATTCTTCATTTAATTAAATTAAATTTAGACCAACATTTATGCAGAATAAAAATAAAAATAAAGAATACTTGAAATTCTCGATATTTTCTAGCTAGTAGCAAAAAGTTTCTAATACCAATATCAGGTAATTAAATTACTCTACGATATCTGTATCAGCTGAGTGTTGTTTGTTTAATTGAAAAAAAAAACAAGAAACTTAGGAGATGTAAATTAAATAGAAGAAGGGGCATATTAGTCAAGTTGAAACCAAGTAACACGCTTTGCAATTTTTGGTGAAATTTTGGTCTGCAATAAAGCAGCCCACAACATCACGTCTGGTTTATATCTGGAAAAAAGCCATTTCAATGTCATTTTCTTGGCCAGCTATCTCTTCACTTTAATTTTAAGTGATAGTTAAAACTTAGGGTAGGCATATACAAAGAAAGAAAGGCATATATAAGTATTAGGGGTTTTTTTCTGAGTACTACTCTTACTAGTGTTGTAATTCCAAGACTATAACAAAGTCTTATTGGAAGTTGTGAGAGCTTTCCGAAAGGCGTTGAAGTCGCCGGAAAATAGCAATATTTTCCATTGAAGCCAATCAGGTAATTTTACATAGCATAAAAGAGAGGAATATTTAATTTAGTAAGAAAAAAAAGAAAGGAAAATTTCCTTTAGTTTCCCTTTCTTCCATGCATATTTCTTTTGTAGTGTGTGAAATGTTTTTGTCTCTGTTCATTATGGCAAATTAATTCGAGTTACGTATGGAAATGAGTCAAGCTTTAGATCTGCAAACTAAGCTCAAAGAATAATTGTTTTTTCTTATTTGAAAAATCTCATTTTTCATTCTTTCAATTCTCACTCCTTTTTATCGATCAGGAGCTTAATTTCTCCATACCATTTTGCTTATTTCTTGTCCTTGCTGAGACATGCATATCTTGTGTGTACCTATGTTGACACAAAATTGTTCTTGTATGCATCTTTTCTTGCATATATTCATTGATATGGAGTATCAACATCTGGAGAAAAAGAATGGAAAAACAATTTATATATACTCCTATTATATTTGGAGCTTATTCAAGAAAAAAATATATATTTCAACACTAATTCGGCTGATATTTCTTACTACTACATCCAACATGGAGGTAATTGCTGTGTGATCTAACGTTTTTAATTTTTTAGTGCTTAGATTCTTGATTGGATGCTTTCTATTTACAGCCTAAAGCTTCTCACTACCAGAGAGAGAGAGAGATCTATAGATAGATATATTGTAGAACAAATTAAATCAAGTTCAGTGATAGTACTCGTACTAAAATAATTTCCTTTTTCTACCTTTTATCTTGCTCTTGATTTCTACATATTCTATATTAATCCTTAAAGCCCTCTCCCCTTGCCCCCTCTCAACTAAGATAAGAAAAGATTTTATTTTATTTTTTTGGAAAAAAATGAGGCTTTTGTATGGCACTGCTCAGAACCCACATTTTCTTAATTATCGAGCAAAGGAAATTAAAGTTCCTTAGGTGAATCCAGTTATTGTTTGTATGATAAAAGTGAAGTTCTTTTCTTTTCCTCTCTTCTCATTTAACCATTTGATCAATTATAATTTAAGTATGCTAGGGGAAGATGAAAGAGTGGAAATTCTTGTTCTAATATTCTTTTTTTCTCCTTTTCTCTTGTTATTATTTCCCCTTTATTACTTATTCTCAAAATTAAACATAGGTGTTAATTATACTCAGATCTGCCTAAGATAGGAAGAAAACTTAAGCAATATGCAATTTGCATGAAGGATTTTCCCCATATTAAATTTTAAGAGAAAAAATGTACGACAATAATGTTACATTTGCTTGGGTAACTAAGTACATAAATATATTGTGATCAGCAGATGGGTCGAGGAAAGATAGAGATAAAGAGGATAGAGAACAACACAAACAGGCAGGTGACATTTTGCAAGAGGAGAAATGGACTCCTCAAAAAGGCTTATGAACTCTCAGTACTTTGTGAAGCTGAGATTGCTCTTATTGTTTTCTCCAGCCGTGGCCGCGTCTATGAGTACTCTAACAACAAGTAATATAATTCTTTCCCTACTCATTTTTTATGTGTAATTAGGCGACTTCAACTTATTTGGGATTAAGGCATATGTAATAAATTGTTGTTTGTGTCTGAATCTGCTAACCTTGTCATATTATGGACATACATTGTTTCATTGTTTTGTCCTTCATTTCCTTGATATCAGTGTAATCATTCACCCATCTCTTGTTGTCTGGTCTTCAAGGAAGTCAACTCACAAGTGCTTGCAACTCATTGTAGAGGATAATTATAAGACAAGCTCGATAAGTTTAATATTTGTTATTTTAATATTTGTATTTATAGTGATGCTTAATAAGTCACACATGATTAGTTTAATATGAGTTTTAGCTATAAGAAAATGAAAGAAACATGTCAAATTAGCGTAGACATAAATTTGCAATTCTTGATATTCATTTTACACATATGTACAAGAAAATAATGAATGACTAATTATCACAAAAAGATTGGTTTATACTTTATACATGAAAAAACTTGAGGAAAGACAGAGTAAGCACTAACGTACTCTCAGTGAGTACTAGTGATTCCTTTCCATTTTCATTATTTGTGAGCTTCTGTTTCCAGGGGTTTCTTAGTTTCCACTCCTAGCTTATACACTGTAAAGTTCTCCTGCTTTGGCCTGTATTTTCCTAGTCAAAGTAAATTTATACTAATGTTGAATATTCTCTGGAGTTTCTCTATTCACTTTTACGTTAGCAAATATACTGGAACTAAAAGATCAAGTTCATGCATGGTAATTCTCCAGGATTTCCTTTTTGCATGGATATGGCAAATGCTGCTACGTGGGTGATGCCTTTTTTGTATAAAATAAGTACGTAATAACACCCTTAAGTGAAAAATGAAAAAGAAAAGATGAAAATATCAAAGAGAGTGCATTAAAAAAGAAGGAGAAAAGGAGGGAAGAGAACAAGTCTTGGCAGTCCTCCATTCCTTTTGTCATACATTATAGTCATTAAAAAATGAAACAACTTATTTTCCTCTCTTTTCAAGACGAAATCTTATGCTTTATACGTCGACCAGAAATCCACCATTTAAATTTCATTTCCTTTTTAATGCTTTTTTCTGCACTTTGATAAATTCCTCTCTTTCACTTATCGTTTCTATTTTTAGCATTTGGTCTTATTAAAATCTTTTTATGCACAAAAAAAGGTACCTGAAAACCAATTGCTTCCCAGATTCTTTTTCCCATCAAGCAAGACATAAATTTACACCATCAAATTTTCCTTGTTTCAATATGGATATATAGAGATTAAAATGCTTACTTTATTCCTTGTTCATTTATTTTATGAGATAAATTATATCTGCTGAAAAGAATTTATTGCATTAGATGCATTTATCTTACTCCTCGTTAACGAGTTTAATCTCCTCACTTTTTTTTTTCTAAATATCTTTATAGTTTATTATTATAATAAACCTGTTGAAATCTTTTTGCTATACACAGCATTAAGGCAACTATTGATCGGTACAAGAAGGCTACTTCAGAAACCTCTAATGCTTGCACCACTCAAGAGCTCAATGCTCAGGTAATTAATTAAGCAAAACATTTTTTATATTTCCACATATACAGAAACATCAGAAATATTATTCTAATTAATTGTTGCCTGATTAACAATAATTCTTTTGGCTATCATGGACGTAGTTTTACCAACAAGAATCGAAAAAGCTGCGCCAACAGATACAGATGATACAGAATTCAAACAGGTAATGTCATAATTATTGGATACTAAGATATAAGATGAACTTTAAACTAATTCCATTGTTTTCTAAAAGTTATACTCCTATATCCACAGGCATCTGGTTGGTGAAGGTTTAAGCTCTTTGAACGTAAGGGAGCTGAAGCAGTTGGAGAACAGACTTGAACGTGGCATTACTAGAATTAGGTCAAAAAAGGTACACTAAGTGACCATGGGGGTGTACAAAGAAAACCAATAAACCGTACCATATCGATAATCCGAGTCAAATCGGAAAAAAAAATCCGATTGTGTTTTGGTTAGATTTGGTTTGGTATTGAAAAAAAAATGACCATAATTATTTTGGTTTGGTTTTAACTAAAAAAGTCAAACCGAAACCAAACCAACCTGGTAGTATATTTATACGAATTATAAAAATATTTTATACATATAAATATTTGTGTGATGTAAGTTATAAATATTTCTTACAAAATTTCACAGTTTTATCTTTTAACATATTATTTGAAGTTTGGACTTTTTTTTAAATAAAAATTCAATCCATCCACCCAGGATTTCATCTACCGTGCTGGTGGGGATTTGGCCTAGACCTTTACCTTGTATATTAATAACTCATAGGAAAATTAGTACAACAAGGAGGGAAACATAAAACCTAACCTCCATAGAACCTAGTTAATCTAAATCGACTAGGAACAATGACTTAACATTCTTGAATGGTAACTAAATTTTATAGCCCATAAATGTAATAACTCAAATAAAATCCAAATCAATACTAATGCTAACAAAATAAATTTAATTCAACACTAGGAATGACAATAGTGCTGAATATCTATTTTTAATTTTACATTGGTTTATAATGAAAATGCATAACTTACTTAATCTTTTTCTTTAGTGCTTAGTTATGTAATTAATATTGTAGTAGTTATTAGCTATACTTATTTTAGCATAACCTATATACTATTTTTGATTATGTTAATTTTCATTATGGCTTATTAATTAGTAATATTTGCTTTATGCAATTTTATTATCTTTGTTATTGAATATTTTAGTTTAATGGTATGACTTATCTCATATTATTGTGTTATTTTCATGGAAAATACATTAGATAGAATTGTATCTTACTAGGACTAAAGAAATATTTGGAGCACAAGTTATATATTTTGTGATATGAAGACTTTATCGGAAAAAAACCTTAAAACCCGAAAAAAATCGAAAAGTCTGAGAAAAACCTAGATTGAAAAACCCGACTTTGTTGGTTTCGTTTGGTTTATAGATTTAAAAACCGGACACCATTTGGTTTGATTTGGTAATTGAAAAATCTGGACCAGCTCGACCTATGTACACCCCTAGTGAAGATGTTTAGCCGAAGTAGAAAAATATTTCTATTGTCTGTACTATCCTCTTAATAAATGACTTTGATGTTTCTTATGTTGTGGAACAGCATGAGATGATACTAGCAGAAACTGAGAATTTGCAGAAGAGGGTAACTTCTTGAAACTTGTTGTGTCATATTTCCTTGAGGGTTCTTAACAGATCTATCTCATTAATTAATTATTCTTGGTTCTTTAATCTTGAACATGCTGTTCTAATTAATAGGAAATTCAACTTGAACAAGAGAATGCATTCCTCAGATCAAAGGTACATTTAGCATTAATAATGAAGAGAAAAACCTAAATTTTTCCTTCAGTTATTCTCAAACAAATAATCATGGAAGCGAAAGCTCATTGAATGAAGTTACTATTGCCTTTTTTTCTTTCTTTTCAGATAGCTGAAAATGAGAGGCTTCAGGAACTAAGCATGATGCCAGCTGGTGGGCAAGAGTACAGTGCAATTCAGCAATATTTAGCAAGAAATATGCTTCAACTTAATATGATGGAAGGAGGAGTTCCTACTTCCTATCATCAATTGCCTACTGACAAGAAGTCCCTTGAGCTTCAGTAGACCGACCGACCGACCGACCGACCGACCGACCATCTTTTGGCTTCCCAAGTATGTCTTCAGAATTCCTCAAACATACATCTTTATCACTATAGTCAGTAGTGTGTGTCTAATTGACACGATTTGTCTTCGCTTCAAGTGTTCAATATGTACTATTCTTGGCTTAGTTGTCCAAGTGAGAAATATTGTCAAGTTTAGGAGGCCACCTATGTATTCTGCCTTAATTAATAGTAATTGACAAATGATATGAGCATGTTTTCCATATTTTGATGTCTGAGGATATGCTGGTGTTTAGGATTTAGGGAAATCGTCTAGATAGTCTTTCAACATAGCAAGTTGACACAAAGGACATCCTGGAAAATATGATTTTAAGCGACTTTGAAAGACCAAAAAAGCTGAAGTTGAGGAATATAGATAGCCAGAAAGTAAGACTACCTGTTTCTCCACTGATCATTCATGTTTCTTTTGATGCAGGTGACTCCACTAAATGCTTTGAGAAATTTATTATGAAGGAATTTGGTGTTTAGAATTTATAAAGCAATGTCTTATGATTGTGTGTTGCTTAAATTAGTTAGTACCTTATTTTGCCGTATTTGAATTGTTTGCCATTATTTTGGGACTTGTAAGAATTTGAACTGGTGGATGTATCAGCTTTGTTGCATCAGACTTTGCAAAGAACAAGCAAGTTTTGGCTAAACTTTATAGGCAATGTCCCTCTTGAATCTTGATATATGTCTCGATATTTAGAATGCAAGATTCAATTCTAGTTAAGCAATGGTCTACAAAGTTTAGCATTTGAGTTATCTTAGAGCTCAAATCAATAAAAACAATGGGAGAAACTATCACATAGTAACCAAAAAATCTCTCTTTCACACTATGAAGATAGAAGACACCGCACACATAACCTCCTACTTGTACATCTGAAGACAATAGTGAATGCAGAAGAATTCGTGAAACCAAATCAGTGAATTATAAAGTAAGAAACAACGCATGTTATTACGTGAAAAGATAGTAACGAAACGGATATGATAATTCCGTTGGGAAGTTCAGTAGACTGAAAAGTGATAGACAGGATAGAAAAACTTACATAAAGTACTGAGATATAAAATCAAAGATGACTTTGGTTATGGGCTTTCATTTTTATATATAACTTCAACAATTTTGGACCGCTCGAGTACGAATTTCCCTTCCTTGTACTTCTGTGCTGGCTCAAAAGCTTGTTCATACTTCCAACCCAATACCTCACTGCATTTCTCACAGTGTATGTCAGTAACTGTGTGAAGACCAGTAACAAGTTGTCTATCTTCTTTGGTTCCAAGAACAATATTCTTCACCAGAGAAAAAAGGAAAGCTTTGCCACTACTTGCCTGTAAAACAATACAATTATCTTTTCTATAGTTAATGCTCATAAACCATATGATCGCAGATAAAGTGCATGACAATAGCGATCAAATAAGTATAAATGGACTAATGAAATCGTTCACCAGAAACATCTTAGAGATAATATCATCATCAAATGAGAGATGACTTCGACATTTGCAGCAGCTGTATGAGCGACGCCCCCCTAACTCATCCATCAAACAAAACCAGAAGACAAAAGTCAGAACTTTACACCGTGCCAACAAGAAACAAAACATGAGACAAACAGTGGAAGAACCATAATTTTCTATACCTTCAAAGGAAATGAGAACAACTTAGAATTCTGTACTAAATATTAATACTAATGGATAGTTTCAACTTACAGGGCAGGAGTACAAAACTCTGTAAAAGACTGGAAAAATTAAGCTACTTTGCCAACATGTACAAGTTTAAATTAAAAATAGTAGTGAAAGAAAATAATGTCATGAATGATATTACAAATATGCAATTATATGTTTGAATAATACTTGAAGTTGAAGCTGACAAAAGAAAAAAAAAAAAAAAAAGACAATAACTTATAAAATAGACACCAACCTTTGAGGCTGATCAGCGCCTTACTCTCCTTTTGAGCTTTCTTCTCCAAGATATCTCTAAATAATTGATTGTTGCTCTCCACATTTTTTTCTGCCCCCAAATGCTTTTCAAGACTATGCATGATCTCCTTCAACTTAGTTTCGACCTATCAAATATGTAACGATAGGTCGATAAAATGCTCAAGGGGCACCATTAACAAATAAGAAAATATAACATTCGTGCTTGACGATGCAATTTATCTGTCATTGACAACTGATATTTTCAAATGATAATGGAAGCAAAAATGCATCAATAGTGGTACCTACCATTTCAGATAGTTGCCTATGTTGCTCCTCGCAAGACCACCTCTGCAGTTGTTCCTTCAACTCAGTTACCTCTTGCTTTATATTTCCCGGAGAAGAATTAGCCTCCAACTTGTCATTATGAAGTTCCATCTTCTATAAATGAGAATCGATATTTACAAGATAGGTTATTACCACAAGAACTAACGAATAATGTGAAACGAAATCCAACCAATTACTGAATGCTGTATACATACCTTTACTTCTTTGAACAAGTCATTCGTATATGGTTTTCCGCCAGTCTTTTGTACAACGGTATTCACATGGAAAAGAAGCACCCTCAATTGGTCAGCTTTCTTCATTGGATCTTTAGTCTTATTGTCGAATAGCACATGTCTGTTCCCACACATATTAACAACTTCCTGTAATGGTAGGAAGAATTAACTTATGAACAATCTGGACACTCTTGAGCATGCCATAAAAATTACGAACATTCTAAATTCATCCCACAAACTAAAAATGTTTCTCGCTTTAGCCATAGTTACTGCAGAAAAAAAATTGGCGCGACTAGCCAATGAAAATTCTTCTTCTCATCCAAAATTGGAACAAAATGAAGAAGCCTCTTAAATAGATGAAAGCTAAAATGCCAGTATATTAGCTAGTAGAATCAGTCAGCTTATTCCAAGGCGCGCTATTGTGCAAATATATCCGACTATACATCTCTGCACATCATTTTACCTTTAAAGGCTCAGGGCAGGAACTATCTAAGTGATCATTCAGCGTCTCATTGTCTTCAAGCTCATCCCCTCCAGTGAAGGCGACAATCATATAATCACTAATTTTGTCCCCGAACAACTCCCTAAAGTACTGGATAGCAGCTTGTTCTTCTTTTGAAAAGCGAGTTCGTACAGACAAAACCAAAAGAACAGCATGGATGCCATCATCGGCCAAATCAATGCCTTTGATTATTTCGTTTCCAACTGATTCAGACTTAGCTGTTAAGTCAAATCCTACAATTCCAACACTGTAAGCTATCAGTAACTTTACAGATTACCTGAAGAATTCAAGAACTAGAGAAGCATAGGTTGTTTTTACGGAACTTGTCATATAATAGGAAGTGTCAATCATACAAAGATTAAAGAAAAGATATCTTAAGCTTTTCTTTAATGATTGACTTTACATTTCTCTAAGAATTATACTAATTGATTACAAGATTTTAGTTAACATATAACAGTACAAAGCGATTAATTAAAGAAAAAAAAATTGACTGTACCAGGGGTATCAATCACATCAAGAATCTGTCCATCTTCTAATTCAGTCCTCTGGATTTCACAAGTTCTTGTAACACCACTAAAGCTAGGCATTGATCTGAATGCCTTTCTTCCAAGAATGCTATTGCCCGTGGCACTTCTCCCGTCACCTGTACGCCCAATCAGAAGTAGTGTCCGAGCTCCATTTCCAATAAATTCCCAATCATCACTGACTGAACTTCCAACCATCTTATCTTATCGGATCAAATCACCAAAGCAACTGGTCACGGTCAGGTTAAGCGAAGAAAGAACAGAGTTAAAGATTCTTCTTTCGCAAAATCAATGGGGAATCAACAATAAACAAAATCTTTCTGATGCTTAAGTTAATCTTTAGAGTGGTAACCCCTTTACATAAAGGACTCAAACCATGGAAGAAAACATCAAACAAGAAGGTCTTCAGGCCGAAGCCCACGTGCCTCTACTATGGGAGCAGAACAAATAGCCACTTACTAAGAAGGAACTTCACATGCTTGATGGCAGCGGCAGATGCAGCTTTTCAGCTGCGGGGTCATCTGAACCCAGTATTTCCAGTGCGGAGTGTTAGTGTGTGTGTGTAAATATAATGTGTGTGTGTGTGTGTGAAAACCAACTAAAATTCCAACACATATTAGATTTGAACCATAATATTAAAAGTACAATAAGTTCGTGCTAAGAAATTTAAAGGTCGAACGCAGACCTGATTAACTTTTTTTTGGTGGATTTCAAGTACTATTAAGTCTAAAAGAAATGATCAGGTAACTAGAAGCAGGTTTTCAATTATAATCAGTATATTGGAAGGTTGCAAAAGGACAATGCAACAGAGGACAAGAAGCTCTTTTAAGAATTAAGCAGAACTAACATGCATGCAACACAATCTTTTGACAATCCAACATTATTACTATTATTATTTTTTTGGTTTCCCACCCGGTGTCCGGTACCACATTGGGGCCCGACTAAATCCGGATTCGCGCCGGGAAGTCCCACATTGGGGGGTAAAGCGCTCTCTAACAAAGGCGACTCCATACCCAGGGACTCGAACCCGAGACCTCTGGTTAAGGATGAAGGAGTACTTACCAATCATAATGTTGCGAATCCACCATTATGATCACTCACAGTGTCTATATTGCAAGTTAATTATTTGATTAAAAAAGAACTAACATAAAGAAATTCTGGCACTATTATGTTATATGCTCAAAAAAACAGCAGGATGATAGTAGAAACTCCTCCGCATTATACAAGATAAGAAATGAATAACATAAACTCAGATCATAGTCCTGATATTATATATCATATATATAATCACGAAATGAACTAATTAAGCACAGAGCTAAGAAATGGAGTACATTTTTGCTGACCTTGAGAGAGAGACTGCAGTTAGGAGTACAGGGGAGATTGACTTATGACGGCTAATAATCCCTTTCTTGAGAAACGAGTATTGGGCCATTAGATTTTTATTTTTTATTTTTGTTTTTTTGGATTTTTTAAAAAGAAGAAGAATTAACCGCTCACCTATTCTCTTAAATTAAAAATAGCCGGTGAATGTACACCATATATAACTGTGTTTAATCAATATATATTCTACTTACACCAACTAAAAAAATTAAACTCTGAATTTGACTTGTTATTTGTGTAACAATCTTCCTTCTTCTTTTCATGGCAATAATAGTGTCATTTTCTTTATTTAATTCAAATATTAATTCTTCCTTATATCTACTTCTATTTTGCTGCTCTATATTTTATTATTATACTTTATATCATCTAGATTTATATTCAATACGAGATCTTGATTGCCTTTTATAACTTTCATCAAGGGTGGCTCAATAAAAGCGGTGGCCTAAATCCAAAACTTAAGAAAATGTGAGGAAATAACACTAGTAATGTGATAACAGTTGGACAAATAGACATGATTAATTTAGATAACCAAGAAAAGATTGTATGGTCTTAACAAATTTTCTTTCAAGGTTTTAAGTTTTCTTTAAGTATTCCACAGTATAACATTGTCTAATATTTTAAAATTTTGAGTTAAATTTTATATCTGCTAATAACATATTTGATAACTAGAACCAATGTAGTATATTGAAATAAAATATTAATGTTTTATTAACTTAAAAAAAACCTTACTACTATAAATAATTATAACTAATAGAAAAAATTTTGGGGGGCCTTTGACTTTTAGGGACCTAAAGCAGAAGCTTTAATGGGTTTACCTGTCACGACCCGGATTTTTCACCCTCGGGAGTCGTACTGGCGCATACTAATGTGATCTAGGCAAGCCGAATATTTAATAAATTACCTTTTTACCCATTTTATACACTTTAACAATTAAAAATAATAATGTGAAAATAGCGGAAAATTTAAAATAAGCGGAAGAGAAGCAATAGAATATCTGAACATGTATCCAAAACAACTGTTTGAGCCTCAACTACCCAGAACTGGTGTCACAGTTTCACAAACGATCTAAGAATACTACATACAAAGTCTGAAAAATAAACGATACACTGTTTCTGAATTAAGGAAATGAAACAGGAACAAAGGGGTAGAGGGAGACGCCAGAGCCTGCGGACGCCTGCAGGTCTACCTTGGATCTCCGCGTGGACTGAAGGTAGCCACTCAATCTACGGTCCAAAGTCAACAGCACTGGGATCTGCACAAAAGAGTGCAGAGTGTAGTATCAGCACAACCGACCCCATGTGCTGGTAAGTGCCTAGCCTAACCCCGGCCAAGTAGTGACGAGGCTAGTACCAGACTACCAAATAACCTGTGCAGTTAAATCATATACAGCGGAAATAGAAACAGATAATTACAACTAAAGTTGGGCGGGGGAAACATGCTACGGGGAGTAACAGATAACAACAGAACGACTGTAGAGAAACATAAGAAATGCTCTAAATTAATTACCAGCAAAATAAGGAAATAGAAGAACGGGCACACAAGTAATACTGTTGCAGGCGTGCAACCCGATCCCATTACATATGACACCGTTGCAGGCGTGCAACCCGCTCCCATTTCTTACATTATGTTGCAGGCGTGGAACCCGCTCCCATGTCACATATCACCGTTGCAGGCGTACAACCCGCTCCCATTTCATATATTACCGTTACAGGCGTGCAACCCGCTCCCATTTCATATATTACTGTTGCAGGCGTGCAACCCGCTCCCCTTTCACATATTACCGTTGCAGGCGTGCAACCCGCTCCCATGTCACATATTACCGTTGCAGGCGTGCAACCCGTTCCCATTTCTTTTATCAACACCAATCAAAAGAATCTCGGCAAGGGAACAATAATATTAAAACAAACATCCCGGCAAGGGAACTACAATGATAATAACATCCCGGCAAGGGAACAATAATGATAATATCATCCCGGCAAGGGAACAATAAATAAATCCTCATATGAAACGCAACAAACCACAACGGAGGCATAATAATAACAATACAAGACTCACGGGCATGCTTGACACCGACGTATAGATACTCGTCACCATGCCTATACGTCGTACTCCACAATTAACATGTAACAATTAAGACTCGGCTCCTAATCCCTCAAGCTAAGGTTAGACCAAACACTTACCTCGATGCCACGAACACAATTCACGTCTCAACTATCACTTTACCCCTTGATTTCACCACCAATTCGCTCGTATCTAGTCACAAGTTACTTAATTACATCAATAAACGCTAAACGAATCAATTCCAATGCTTGAAAATGAATTTTCCAAAGTTTTACCCAAAAAGTCAAAAATCGCCCCCAGGCCCACATGGTCAAAACCCGAGGTTCGAAAGAAAACCCGATTACCCATTCCCCCATGAACCCAAATATATAATTTGTTTTGAAATCGGACCTCAAATCGAGGTCCAAATTCCCAATTTTCGAAAAACCTAGGTTCTACCCGAAACACCCAATTTCCCCCATGAAAGTCATTGATCTTGAGTTGAAATCATGTTAAAAGATGTTAATGATTGAAGGAAACGAGTTAAAATTGACTTACAATCGATTTGGAAGAAGAGTTGTTCTTGAAAAATAGCCCTAGGGAGTTTATATTTTGAAAAGATGTGAAAAATGGTTGATTTTCGGCTAAGTTATAAAATTGCAGGTTGCAGGTATGGGAATTACGAACAGGGTTCGCAATTGCGAACCCCGACCTCTGCTATGTTCGTATTTGCGAAGGGGGTTCTCGCATTTGCGAGTTGGGAAATGCGAACAAAGGATCGCATTTGCGAAAACAGGCCCAAAAGGGGCGTATCGCATTTGCGGAGGAAATCTCGCATTTGCGAGGAAGAGTTGGCCTGGGCTGTTTCGCATTTGCGACTCAGCCTTCGCATTTGCGAGCCAGGCTTCGCAAATGCGAAGCCTGCAGGTCTGAACTCACCAGCTAAAAACCTGCAATCCACCAAGTCCAAAATCCACCCCGTGGCCTATCCAAAACTCACCCGAGCCCTCGGGGCTCCAAACCAAACATGCACACCAACCTAAAAACATCATACGGACTCGCTCGTGCATTCAAATCACTAAAATAACATCAACAACTATGAATTTAGCATCAAAATCATGAATTTTCTTAAGAACTTCAAATTTTCCATTTTTCTCAAATACGATCCGATTCACGTTGTTTCAAGTCCGTTTCTTACCAAATTTCACAGACTTATCTTAAATCACATATAAGACTTGTACCGGGCGCCGGAACCAAAATACGGGCCCGATACCATCAAGTTTTAAACACATTTTATTTCCAAAAACTCATAACTAATTTCAAAAATAATTTTCTTTAAAAATTCATTTCTCGGGCTTGGGACCTCGGAATTCGATTCCGAGCATATGCCCAAGTCCCATATTTTCCTACGGACCCTCCGGAACAGTCAAATCACAGGTCCGGGTCCGTTTACCTAAAATGTTGACCGAAGTCAAATTAATTCATTTTAAAGTCAAAAATTCATCATTTTTCACATATTTTCACATATAGGCTTTCCGGCTACGCACCCGGACTGCGCACGCAAATCGAAGTGAGACAGAAAGAGGTTTTTAAAGCCTCGAAATGCAGAATTTACTTTTAAAACAAGTGATGACCTTTTGGGTCATCACATTACCCTTGAGCCATCCATGCTTTCATGAGTGCATTTCATATTAGATAAACTTATTTTTCAATTAACTTTTAATAAATACTTGGATTTTGAAAAGATATGAAAAGGCCAAATATAAGGATGAGAGTTTTAGAATAGAAAGACTTAAAAGATATAGTAATACAAAAGGAAAGATTTGAAAAGAACCGATGGAGCTAAATCTAGGAAATGGAAAAGCTAAAAATAAGAAAAAGAATCCGAATAGTTGTGGAAAGATTTTATCCATTTGAACACAAATATTAAGAAACATGGTCTTATTGAAAATTCAAAGTACTATTATTAGATTCAGCCCAAAAAACATTTAGGATAGAAAATACACTTTATCTTTTATTTACATGAATAAAGAATTTAAAGAAATTTGATTCCTTCTTGAAATGTATTTACCTTTTTATTTACGTTAGGAATCTTACAAATATTTTCTTTTACTTTTCTATTTACATTAGGAACAATTTTTTTTTTTTTTACTTAAAACAACTCTATTTCCTTCTTGAAAGTTGTAATGTTAACACTGATATTACAGATCAGGCCCAACAAACAACAGAAGTTGAAGATGAACAACCCATTAACACAGACCCATTAGTACATTAGTCCACCAAGTCCAATACTTTTGTATCTCTATTTTTTAGTTGTACATTTATATCAATATGTGTGTGTAATTGTATATAGACTAAGTAGTGAAATAATAATACACAAATCAGTTGATTGTTCTAGAGACTAACCGACCTTCTCTCTCTTCTCTCTCTATTTTAGAAACCTTAGGGTTTTCTTCAATTTCTTTCGTTCATCAAGGAATCTGGTGATGTTAACATTGTATCAGAGCAGGGATTCTGTTTCATCTCGGCCTGAGCTTCACTCCGATGTTACCCCTGACCGGAGTTTTCGTCTCTTCCGTTTGGTTCGGTGATTTGGGGTTTTCATCTGAAGCGTGATTTTCTCGCTGAAAAAATTGGGGATTTCTTCGATTTTGTGCTGGAATCGACTCTCCTGGTCATGTGCTACTGAAATCCAAAGGTTATCGGCATCTTTTACCTCATGCGTGTCACGACCCAAAAACTAACCCTGTCGTGATGGCGCCTATCGTGGTACTAGGTATTCCGACACCTTACCAAAACAAAACGATATTTTCATTTCAAAGATAATTCCAAAGCTATTTAATATATGTAACCTTCACAAGGGAGTTCAAATCAAAATAAAAGTGCGGAAAAGAAAGCCCGACATCGGGATGTCACTAGTCATGAGCATCTACTACAACCACCTGACAATATCAAGACTAACATAGTCTGGAAATAATTGTATATAACTAAGGAAAGATAA